ATGATGCTACAGCTGCAATTATTATTTTCATTTTAAAATGTAATTCGAAAACCCTTTTTTTTTTGCAGTTAAAGAATTTCATATAAAAAAGACACATTATAAACAAGAAAAACCTTTAAATTTACAACTCAATCAATAAATACAAACTTCAATGAAGATTAAAAAACATGTTGTTGAAGTCAATCAATAACTACCTTAGAGCTTAAGAGTTGAGAAGAAGCAAAATATTTTTTAACTGTCAAGATGAGAAGATGAGAGGCTTGGGTTCAATAGTAGCATTACCAGTGGCTTGGGTTGAGAAAAGAGATAAAGATAGCATGGATGAAATTTGAAAGAGGTTAGAAGATAGAGAAAGCATGGAATATGCTTGTCGATTTTTAAAGAAAGACAATGAGCGACAGAGCGTGATACAAAAAAATTTAATCGTGCAATTTGAAGAATATACAGATATGAGAAACGTTTGGTGGATTTAGGTTTAGTTGAACCAAATCAACCAATCATAGTATTTTTTTAACTTAAAATTCAGGTACGTGTGACATTTAAAAGTACATTGTATTTTACTTTTTCTTATTTAGGTGAAAATATGGAAAGGAAAAAGTAAATGAATTGGTGAGAAATTGGATTTTTTGAAATTTTTTTTTATTAATTTTGATGAAAATTTAAAGAGAATGTAAGCTAGAATTTATTTTTATTTACCATCATTTTAAAGTAATTAGTAGTTTTTTTATATAATTTTAATATTATTAATGTTATTGTTAATTGTATATTTTTATTAGTTAATAAAGATTAGTTTGCTACTGTTATATTTTTTTGGTTTAATTTAGTTATTTAAAATGTTACACTTGAAATTTTGATATAACAATAAAGTATATTTATCCATAATCAATCAGTTAGTTTTATCATCTTCTCTGAATGAACATATGTTATAAAAATATCTAAAATATTCATCACTAGTTTTCTAATTAAATTAATTATAATCTTAATTAACTTCATATAACATATATTTTTTTCATCATATGTATTTATAATATTTATACCTTTAAACTTCGTGCATATAAAAAAGAAAAATATTTATAATATGCATTATCATTTTGAATTATAACTACAAAACATGAAAAAATTATTTTAATTTATAAATAAAAATTAAAATATCATAAATTACTTAAAAATTATAAGTATTAATTTTTATTATTATAATTATAATTACTACATTTTATAATAAATTATAAAAAATAAAAAAATTTATAATTTTAATGATTGTAATAATTAAAATAATTTTCATTATATATGTAATCATTGTAAATACGATGTGATTGAAAACGTATCCCAATCACAATTTGAATCTCTGAGCATACAGTGGCATCGACAAACGGTGCGACAGTCCTACTGCTTCCATTTCTGATAAATGGGCTCTTGCAAATACCATGGCCCATCAGATGAGAATTTACAAGTGTTGAACGCACCTTTTACCCACTTTTCTCACACTTCTACAAACAAGTCCTAAACAAACCGTACATGGATAACCATAACAACCTGGTATCACAATCAAATTAAATTGCCAGTAAAGGATAAGGCCATCAAAATAACCATAAAAAGAAATATTCTAAATATAGTAATTTCAAACACAATAAAAACAGTAATTATGGGTTATAAGTGCTATCACTTACAAAATCTAATCAAAGTAAAATTGAATTTAAACGGCCCAAATCGTACATTTTGCATCTCAAAATCGATCCACCAATAACTATTCATCTATTTTTTCCCTTCAAATGAGTAGCTTTGCGTGTCAAACAGTAGAAACATTTTCAAACGCGAACTCAAATATTTTATTGAAGCTGCCGATTTTCGTTCGAATAGAATTTTAAGGAAAAAAAAGAGCAAATATAGCACGAATTGAGAGAAGGGAATCGAGTAAACTTACTACTAAATCGGATCAGAATCACCATCACTGGTGTAAATTGAAGGCACGAGAAAGGAAAGAGCGAAAAAGAACAGAACCAAACGGCAGGGAACCATTTGATTCATGGAAAAGGAAAAAAAAAAAAAAACGGAGAAAAATTGATTCGTGATTTTTTTCTACAGAATGAACGATTGCTTTTGAAGTTCCACAGATAACGTGGTGGATTCTGTCCCATGGAATCGAAAAGAGAGAGAGAGGGAGAGAAAAGGAAAGAGTCGATTTGAAGAACCGAGTTGAGCTGGTACAACGAACTCAGTTGAGAAAGACTGTTAGGGAGAGAAAGGCAGAGGATCATCGAGTTATGGCTTCTTTTTGTTTTTTTTTTTCTTACGGAGAATTGTGACCGTGAAGGGGGCAGAGACCGGAATCTCGTGAAGAGCTGATATCAGTAGCAATCCATCGTATGACACGTGGTTATCGGATGTTTATTTTTACCAAAATGACATCCCATTTCATCCATAACGACGGCTAAGCCTCTCGTCGTCATTGACTATTTTCGAACGACACCATTTTTTGCACAGTGCAAAGCGGTTGCTTCCACGTGAAAAACATGTAACCAAAATCCAGGAGACCGAGGAACATCGCCAGTTCAGTACCTCACGCTTTACGTTACCAGACCTCCTATCCTGATAAAGTCCAACCCGAGGATAGACGAGTCGGAGCCGGATACCGAGAAATCTGAACCGCCAGACTTCATTAATCGGAAGCTTCTATTTAGTCTTCTTGCTCGGCACAAGCTCAGAATCAGCGTCTCAGCGTTGGCTCTTGTTGGCTGCACCGCTTGTACTCTCTCAATGCCTATATTTTCTGGTGAGGAATTTCTGTATATGTTAAGTTTAAGAAGAGATTAGAAGACGCTTATGCTAATAAATTAAGATTAAGAAAATGTATAGGACGATCCTTCGAATTGCTTATAGGCGCCAGAACAGAGCCGTTATAGAAGCTGCTTAGCAAAGTGGGGCTTTTTTACCCTTTGGAGCCGATTTTCACAGTTATTTTTGTGGTAAATTTGAATACCATATGGGAGAAGGTAATGTCAACATTGCAAGCTCAGATTTTTAGAAGAGTTTTGATTGAAAAGGTATAACATTACTAATGAGTATTTTAAATCATTTTCGTTGTCAATAGATTCATTTCACATTTAAACTGTAGTCGTATTATATATATATATATATATATATATATGTATATATAAGTTATAAAAGAGCTCCAAGTATGATATAAATAAGAATCCTTTCTCTTTAAGCTGCTTAAATACTTATAAATTATCTTCTTTCATCAAAACCCTAAATACTTAAGTGACTTTGAACTTCAGAAACGAGTCTCAAAGAATCAATTTCGACAACCCCTAAAGGTGCTTTTTTGCTGCAGGTTTAAGCTATCCACCAAGTCACTTTTCTTCCTAACAACACCAGAAACATCTTCAACAAATTGTATTTTGTTTTTCCATCAGTGTGGCGCAGTTTTTTTTTTTTTTTTTCTTTTATGGTGACATGGTTTTTGAATGGTAAATTAAAGAAAACGGTTTGTTTTTTCTTCTTCTGTTACTTGCTGTGTATCAAAGTCTATTGTTTTGCTTCTCACAGGTTGATGAGCTCAGTGGTTTGTTGACATCTGATTTGGGTTCTTTAAAAGATTTTGTTAGCGAGAACATTTGAAGGGATCGCGGCTTTAGGGCACTTTCCGAGGCAAGCTACTCTATACTACAGCAAAAGTGAGCTAGATATTGCCTAAAATTTATTATGTAGTAGTTCGAATTATCAATTGACTCTAATGGACGTAATTCTTCTTTCACTTGGATTGTAGTTAAAAGTTCTGGATTTCTAAAATAACTTTAGCAGAATCAATTGCATTTTAAAGGTAGTTATTTGTTGAGATTAGTTGCTTAAAAATATCAAGTTACCCTTTCTAGGATATATTCATGTGTAATTCAGTAGAAAACATCATTTATGATTATATTGGTCATTTCATCCCGAGTATTTTATGTTGTTGTATGTTGTTGGGACAATTAGCATACTGTTTGCTCTATCCCCCCAACTAGCCCCAATAATGGGTCTGTTGACGTTTGTTGTGTTCATTTCAGTTGGTAAAAACATTCTCTTCGCAAATTGTTTATTTCGCATGTTTATTCGTTGTTTGAATTTATTCTGTTATCATATGATGTACAGGTATTGTCTTTGTTTCATTTTCACAAATATGAATATACAGTTCTCTTCCTTAAATCCTGTTTCTTCTGACACCACCTAAATTTGATCTGTTAATGATTACCTCGTGCTCATTTTACTTCCATTTTGAAATATGTTTCATGCTTGTGCTTGTTCATGCCTTTTCGTCTGCTTCTGATGATGATGATGATGATGGTTGATTCTCTCAAGCTATATACAAGCGATCACCTCTACCTGTGTTTAAAGCTCATGAATTGGCCCAAGCTTCTATGTCTGACTGTGTAACAGAACGTTTTCTGCGATTCGAACTGTATGTTCTTCTTTAGGCAACAAGTGCTGTGGATGCAGTAAGTGAGCGCCTGGTCGAGAACGCTTTGATGAATAATCTAATGAAAGGCAGAACAACATTAGTGATTGCTCATAGATTAAGCAGTTGAGAATGCCCACCAAATTGCTCTTTGTTCTAATGGCCAGATAGCAGAGCTGGGGACCATTTTGAATTGCTAACTAGGAAGGCGCAATATGCATGCTTCATTAGTTGGCACCCAAAGGCTGCCATTTGAATGAAATTGGATTCCCTAAATATCATTCCCAATGAAGAGGATTAAAACGAAAAGAGGAAGATCTTGTCTAAATAGTGGAATCACCAAAAATGCGAATAGTAGCATTGACTTTCATGCCAATTCTTTCTACTTACTGCCTTACTGGTGGCTTTCATATTTGCTGCAACCTTGGTAATTTTGTTTGATGTAGGTAACTCAATTATGGAGGTTGTAGGAGATGAGTTGGCAAAGTCCAATTCGTGAGACCTTCCATAGCGATTTTTTTTTTTTTTGGGGGGGGGGGGGGGTTGGTTATCGTTGTAAAGAGGAGGTAGCAGTGGTGGAAAATAGCTGTATAAAAGATAGATATAATAACCAAGATAATAGCCATGGTGGGAACTATTGTCGTAACAAAGATGATAGTATTAGAAATAAGTCAGTTTCACTTTTCCCTGGGAATGTACCTTATTCACTCATTAATACTTTTTATGATAAAGAGGAGTTCATACCCCCTCCAATTGCCAAGTGGCCATCAATAGTTGGATGTGTAATTGTTAGTCTTTGTGATTCTTAACCTAGCATGCAGAGGATAGTTGTTGCTTCGGAAGAAGGGATGTTTACGGTAGAAGTGATTCGTTAGCTCATTGCTATTGACTTGGACGGACTTTATATTGCTTGGTTACTTGGGAAAGATATTGGCTTCTTGAATTGCTTATGGGAAAATTGATTCTATCATTCTATGCTATTGACTTAAAAGGTTTATAATAGGTTCCTTGGAAAGGGTGGTGGCTTACGGGACGATCCAAGGTTGCTTGGTGGCGAAATTTGCTTCTTTAGGTAGCTCCCATGGCACTCAATGCATCAAACATTTGGCTACTTGGGAGATGATGCATATGCTTTCTCGTTTTTATTTGCTGTCATTCTATATACTTGGCAAAAATCAAATGGCTTCCACTGTTGATGCAGCACATTCCAACTTGATTTGTTTAAGATCATCTTAGCCACCACAAGGAATTTTTGTTATTCATGTATGAAGCACAACAATGCAAGCATGTTAATTCCATTCATACTGACCACAACAAAGCACACACCGGAGATTACACAAAATTTGCTATTGACAATAAACTTAAGGTCAATGATTATTGTACTTTCAAGTTAGTTAAAAGGTCCAAATACCAAGTAATTCTTGAGATCTGTTGAGCATTGTAATTTTTTTAAAGAAAAAATAAAAAATTAAGAGAAATGCTCTTACATTTTTTATAAATTAATAATGAGCAAGATTGTAACATGTACATCATTAGTATTTTTCTGTAGTGAAAGTTGCATGGTTTCAAGTAGAAGTAGACACGGTGATGAGAGCATTGAGTTTGGCAAAACATTCAGTAGGAAGACTGAGGAAAGAATTCATGAAAAAATCATCAATAGGTTCAACAGATGCTACGCCAACCAATTTGCAATTCCCTTCATTATCCAACCTCTCTCCTCTTCCACTTCTAATCTTTCCTTTTGATTCCTCAGATGTTAAAACTGTCTTTACCAGCAATGGAGGTGCTTGGTAAACACTCCCAACAGAAAAGCAGAATTTGGCCAAGAATTCCAGCTCAACCTACAAAAGCAAATGCAAGAAACATCCCAATTATATGCAATTTTTGGTCCTTGAACAGAACAAATTAATGTTACTTTAAGAAAGCATAGATAGCTCACCTTGCCAGATTCTTGATTGATATTCCCTTGTAAGAGTTGAGGAACAATGTCAATCTTCAAAAACGGTGGCAATGGCAGTCCGAGGAACATGGTTGTTGCACTTGTCAGTGGCGGAATATACAGTGTTTTAAGGTCAAAACTAACTGAAACTTCATTGTCATCTGTGATCTTTGTACCAGTTCCAGTTCCTGTTCCCCCTTCCGCATTATACTCAAAGTCAGGATATCTGGAAATCCCAAGCTTGCAAGCTCCCAGAGTCTTGAAGCTAACATTGTAGACATCGGTCTTTGGCTGTTGGGATTCAATGGATTTGGTCGTGGTGGAAACAGCTTCGCCTTTGTGTGGTGCATAAGAAGAGAAGGCAATAGTTTTAGTTCTAAAACATGGTTTTCTTACTGGGAGCTGACATAAGATTGGTGGTTCCAAGGAGATCATTTTACAACCCATTTTCTGTTGGGAATGGCAAGCTTGTCTACTTGGTTTTGATTTCTAGAAAGTGAAAAGAAGAACGATGACCAACTATTCCATGTGGAATAACCAAAAGCACTAATTATTTTGTTCTCGCGTATATCAAAAGATGAGGCTGGTTTTTGCTGGAGAGTTTAGGACCTCATCTTTGACACTATGTAAAAATCATGGTATGTGGCGAAATTTCGTCCTTTCGATGCATGATGGTGATTTGTCAACCAAGTTGGCTGTGAACCGAACGTTTACATTTTCAAGATCTATGACCAGTGGGATCGTGAAGATTTTTTATTCGATTTTTTTTTTTTACACAGTCCGATGTCAAAGTTGCTGAAACAGCAGAGTAGTCTGCCAAAATAATTGGTAATCGAACCGGATACGCTTGGATGAAAGGTAGAGGAGAGTGCTCTCCAACTAGTCCCCACTTTTTTTTTCACTAGTCCTCATCCAAGTAGCGGTACAAGTACAACAAAACTCAACCCAACATATGATAACGTTAATTGGCAATGTGATCCACCAGACCACGTACAATTACTCGATTACCAAATGCATTAATATAATGACACCTATTAACCCACCAAATACAAAAAGCAACATTTGAGATTAGAGATGTCAACGAGTCGGATAAGTCAAATTTTTATTCGTTTTAAACATGATTCAACTTTAAATATGTAAAATTTAATCTTCGATTCGATAATTTTTTATTATTTTTTATACTCGATTCAACCGACATTATATAAAATTATATTCAATCAACCCAATCTGAAATTAATAAAATATTATTTTTAATATAAATATAAAATTAAATATATATAAAAATATATATAAACAATTATAAAATTAATTAAATATTTTAAAAAATTATTTTTATATAAATATCAGATTAAAGTCGAATTTACCTAAAACTCGATTCTAACTTTTTTTTCATGTCACCCGACCTGACCCGATACCTAATTTTCAAAAGAAAAAAATCGACCCTAATAAATCCGATCGGGTTAAAATCCGTCGGGTACGAGTTTTTTTGCCTTCTCTAGATGAGACTCAAAAAACATAACAAGGGGAAAAGATACATAATATTACAGTTGATACAATGGCAAAAGATGAAACAGGGAAAACTACTATTCGTTTATACACAAAGCAAGACCCCGGTAGCCACAACTGGTTACTCTCTTCCTACCAAGTATCTGCCAGTGAAAAATCTAGAAGCAGCACTCCCGGTGGGATAACTCTCAATACCACTCATTTAAAGCTGGTGCTAAGCACCAGCAATCAGAAATATGGGCACAAAACACAACCTAATACAGGAATTAGCTATAAAAATTTTACACAGAAATGCAGTTTCTGCAAATGTTAGCCTCCGTCAGAACTATACTGACTCACACTGACAGCTCAACACACAAGAGATGACCTGAGGGATGTGGCAGTCGGGAGATTTGTGCATGATGCCCATCGGATAACTGATTCAGCCACTATGAAATCAAGTTGTTCTCGCTCACCATGGCCAATAGTGCGGTTCCTCTTGCTGTGAAAGGCCAACATCCTAGACCCACCTAATCCCCCTGTCCTTCTAAATTCAGCTGTCTTGTTTTCTATTTCTCTTGCCTCGGGCCCACAGCAAGGAGAAGAATCTGGTAACATGAGTAGCTTATCCAAGCCTGCATCTGCAAGATGATGCAAGACATGATTTCAGATGCTAAATCCTAATATAAGGATTTGCAAGATGTTTAAGAAAAATTACCTCCATGAATTCTCTCCATCCGGGTAATGTTGGTTGAGAAATCTAATTTGCAGCTCCCTTGCTCAACCACTGAACTAGGACTGAAGAACGCAAAGCTTGGCATTGAGGGCACAGGAGTCGAAAATTCTAAGGCATCAGAACTACCGCTGCGGAAAGAAAATCCACCTGGTGCAAAGCAAGGCATAGATGGTTCCACCAAGAAAGAAGAAAAAGAAGTTCTGCATGTGAGTGCAGGTGACTGAACATCATAAATGATTGGAGATCCAGCACCAAAGCTGATATCCTGATCCCTAGACAAAGAGAATGAGCCACTACCGAATTCCCACCCTCCACAACTTTGGTATACAAGCTCATTTGATTCTTCATGACAAGATTCATCATTCTTCATCCATAAATGATCTGAAAAAAGATGATTCAAAGTCAAGCTTCTCGAGAAGGGGGAAAATCCAGTAACATAACTTCTTGGGGCCTAGAGGCATACATATACAAGTCAGTCAAACAGGTAGCTTTGTTCAATTTAAAAAGCTAGTATCGAAGCTGTTGGAATTCCAAGAATCATGGCCATGGTAAAAGCCAATCCCAACATGGATTGCATTGAGAAATTACAAAGTCCATTAATGCAGCAGCCACTTAAAAAATTTTGCCTTCTTCAATACATAACATTAAGAGAAGGGGCCTATCTGAACAGTCTTCAAACATGCTCATAATGGATGATGCTATACAGAAAGTGTAGTCACCTATATTGACTGCTTATATGAGTTAAGAAAAGAATTTTGAATATTCCTGCCCAGCGCACACCATCTCAATTTTGTTCCCTTGAACTATTGTAGTGTTATATTAACAAATGATGATATTGGCCTTTCCGTTATAAATGTTCCATTTACTTTTAATAGCCACAAAAGATAATAATTAAACTACTATTTTAACACCATCTACAAACCCCATAAATTTATGACGAGAGTTTGCAGGAATTTCCAATATACCTAGAACCTGTAGAGCAGTGAGTCGTTGAAAAGGATCAGTATTGAGCATTCCCCTGACTAAATTCTTTGCAGAATCAGAAATGCGATCCCAAGGATCTGACGGGAACTGCAGATCAGCTGCCCTCACAGCATCAAAGATTCGTGACTTCGTCTTACCCCAAAATGGTGGTGTCCCGTTAATAAGTATGTACAGAATCACCCCAGCACTCCAAACATCGGCAGCCTGATTATATCCCCCTACCAAAACCTCAGGTGCTATATAAAATGGACTCCCAACAGTCCCATGCAAACACTGCCCTGTTGGTAACAAACACCGAAATAGTTAAAACAAAAAAAAAAAAAGAACCTCAAAACCTCAAATTTTTAAGCAAGCACTGAGAGAAAAATGTTCTTGGTTAGAGAAAGAGAAAGAAGAAATGTACGACTCTACCAGGTTTAATATATGTTGCAAGGCCAAAATCTGCTAGTTTAATTGGCGATGATGAGGCTTTTGTAGCTAAGAGGATATTCTCTGGCTTTAAATCTCTATGAACAACCCCAATTTCATGACAATATAGGACCACTCGCATGAGATGCCTGAAGAGAACTCTAGCCTCTGCCTCAGAGAAATGCCCATACTTCTCTAACCGGTGGAAAAGCTCCCCTCCTGCACAAAGCTCCATCACCAAATGAACATAGTCCTCATCCTCATAAACAGCCTTGAGATCTACAACATTTGGATGCCCTGATAACCTTGTCATTATTTCAATTTCAAGCTTTACACACCGTACATCATCAGAGGTTACTAATCTATCTTTAGATATCGATTTGCATGCCAGTACCTCTCTTGTCAACTTATCCGAGCACAACCTAATAATACCAAATTGACCCCAGCCCAGTTGCTCTCCAAGAATGTATCGATCTTTCAAATTTGCAGTCTGATCAGTCTCCAAAATTGTTTCACTCAAGCTTGCAACTTTGTAGCAATTGCACGGCTGCTTTAACGTTTCACTGATGCTGCTGCTCTTGGCAACAGCCATAACACTTTCTAGCTGTCCAACCAATCCAAAACTGATTCAGAATCTCAGCTTATTACCCTATGTTTTTGGCAGCTTATTACCAACTAACTTAGTCTCCCAATGAAACAAGCTAGTCCATTTTTTAGGTCAAAATTTATATATTTTTCTGTTCACATAACTCTTCCACCAAATCCATACTTGAGGTCAAGACTCCTAAAACATAAGACTTTCTTGGCTAGTTGTTGAACTTTGACACCAACGCTAAAAGGGGAGAACTTGATACCAAAAATCAAGACAGCATGACATTAAAACGTGAACAGTAACCCCAAAACATCACGATCTCAAATGCACAGCTGAGCATTCATCTTAGTTCTCATCAGATGGCCTGGATCTAAAACAATTGAAATTATCAGCTTTTAATCAAGCACTTTGGTTCAGCTCCCAAAAAAATGCAATCTTTGTGGATTACAATGGAAATTATAATACCAGGCAAGTCCAATTTGAGAAAAACCTCACATAAAATGCATCAATATTTTTTGTTAGCTCAACAAACTTGAATCCAAGCTCAAAGAAGAAAGATGAATCACATTCTAACATCAAATAAGAAAACAAACAAACTTTATCATTCCAAAATCTCATCAAACAAAAAAGATCACCCATTATCACCTAAAAGAACCAGCCTCTTCAACCCAAATCAGCTCCACACCTCAAAAGCACCAATATCCATCAGCTAAAAAGCACTAAATCACAAAACAAAAGCAAAATTCAACCCGAACCCATCAAAATTTACCTCAAAACAAAGCACCCCCAGATCCAAAATCGTTCCTTTCCCACAAAGAAAAAAAAACTTTTCAAATTCAAACATCCAAAAAACACTATAAAGATTATAGAGAGAGAAACAAACCTTGCTAGAGATAAGAGCACCACAGAAGAAGAAGAAGACGTCCGTTGGAGCAGTGGCAGAAAGCTCCCCCAAGGCAGACCTCTATCTGTGGGCTCTTCTTTTTGGTCTCTTCTTTTTTAAGTTTGTTTACGAGGATTTTTTTTTTCAAAGGAACAAAGAAGAAAGAGTTGAAACAATGCGTTGAACCTGAGGCTTTGAGGTAACGCTGTTGGTTACCTACGTTTTTTTGTCGTTTGTTCCCTTCTGTTTTTTGGAATGGAAGGAGCACTCTCTCCTCGGACCCGAAGTTTCAGTTTAATTCAGTTAATTATGGTTTTCTTTCAACTAAAATGTAAATTTATGTCCAAGTCCCGTTAAACCGAGGGTTGACTTCAACGAGTCCGAAACGTTGCGTTTTTATTCTTAGAAGGGAAGTTAAAAAAGTATCCGCCGCTAAATCCTATCCAATTCCCCGTCATTAATTTCACTTCAAAGAAAAGAAAAAAAAATAAAAACCTCTTTCTATGTTTCTAAAGGAGCCATATTTGAAACTATGGAGCTGGTGAATCTTCTGGGCTTCGTTTCGTATGTAAATACTCTTTGACCATGCTTAGTTAATCATATGAAGGCCTTAAAGTTTGCATTTTTCTTTTTTATAATCGAAGTTAGTTGCATATGATTAGCATTTGAACTTTGTGAAAATGGGGATTTTGGTTTTTGTTCTATTATTGTTGATTATTGCTGGAATGTTTGTTTAAACCAAGTTCATCATAAGCTGCTCTATGACCCAATTTTGACGTTCAAGAATTGATTTTTCCTTTTCCTTTTAGCTCAGACTAAATTAGCTCAAGTTGGGTAGTAGTGTGTAGATGTGATTTTGGGATATGGGTTTTGTTTGCCCTTGACTCTTTTGTTTATTATTTGTTGGAGAAGAAATTAATTGAATTTTGCCAATGTAGACTGAAAATATTTTGTAGTTAGATGATTATTTTGTTCACTTATGGGTTATATGAGTTGAAAAGGATAAAAGAGTTAGCTGGATTATGTGAACATTTAGGTGAACCATAACAATGCTTTTTTTTTTTTTTTGTTTGCCTAGAGTTGAATTGGGCTGATCCTAATGACCTGAAGGATCTCATTAGATGCATAATTAACATTAATTTGCATTACATTGCAATGCCATAGTCTGTCCAGCTGAACCACATGTCAATGGATGCTTGCAGACCATTCAGTCTATGGCTGCTTTTGTTGAAAATGATACAAAATTCTATTATGTCATTGTTGTACCAAAAAAAAAAACAGTATATGTACAATTTCCTTTTCTTTTTACCAGTAATTTCATTCTCTTTTGTATTTCTTCTATCCAGAGATTCACCTTCAACTTTTTCCCCTGCCTGTTTTTTTCCAGGAGAGAAATTATAAATGGTACTTATAAGTTTTACATCCGCAAGCCTCCTCAAATTTGGTTTGAGTCCTCAAACTAGACTTTCACATAGAAAGTATTTTATTTCATGATCATCACCTGGATATCTTAACATCCAGGCTGTGCAAGAGAATGGAGGTCCTCGAAGACTGGTTGACATCATAAGGCTTGTGCCAGATATCTCTAGGAATTACTTTCGAAGTCCTTCTCGAAGGGCACTTTTTTGGTGGAATCTCCCTGTTGGGAGGTTTTTATGTTGCACAAACAATCCCTCTGTCCTTTGGAGCTTTAGGAGTCAATGATGTGATTGCAGCAGTACTATGAGTGCTACTGACAGAGTATGTGACTAGGTTTTATTACAGCCGTCCAAAGGTAACCTTCCCCCTCAACAATTTCAAGATGGGTTTCACCTATGGACTCTTCATTGATGCTTTTAAGCTTGCCAGTTGATTATATCCATTTATCTTGACACTTGCGTTGGTCATTAATTCTTAGTGTTAAGGCTATAAACCACTCAATTTTCCTATAATGTATATTTTCTAATAAACATTTTTGCCGTATTCTTCTCACACATCCTTTTTTCGCCTGTTTTGTATTTACCTATCTATTTTCTTTCCTTCTGATTTGCTCTAAGTTCCCCATATGCATCTTTTCTTGCTGCAGTAAGTATGTAAACTGTCTTCTGCCTACATGTTGGTGAAGCAAACTCTCAGACCAAAAGTTGAGAGGTACCCTAATTTTTATGCTGTAAAGCTAGTAACTTTGTGATCCAGACATACGCCCCTCATCATGGTAACTTTTGTACTGAATTGGATGTGGTCTTTTGCTGTTTTGTATTCTAACATGGAGAAGCTGCAGTAGTAGATCTGCAGTTGTGACTTGTGTTGTCATAATTCCACATCCTTTCTCATCTTGATCCTGTTATAGACAGCTTATAAAGACATATACCGTTGGAGGCATAAAATGTTTAGAAACAAAGCTGCTTAATAGTTCTATGAGATGTGGTCGTGGCTTGGAATATAATTCCTACCAGCTTTGTAAGCTTTATTTAATACTGTGCCAATGAATGGTGTAAGAGTTCTTTTCATATTATCATGCATCCCGGTTCCCAAAATTTTGTTTCTCTAATAGCCATCAGTAAGTAATGACGTTCCATGTCCTCTTCAGAACCATTGTATTTATGATATGACCAAATCTTGTTGCATTATTTGTTGTCGACCTTGAGGTTGCTCCTCAATAATGTCCCGCACCCTAATCTTCCCCAAGAGACGAACTTTGGTGGTCTATCAACTATTATGGTGGTACTCTCCATCAATCTTTAAAGGTGGTATTTTACTGCAGTTTTCTGGATACCTTAGGCTGTTCAGGCCTTTGGTCATGAGCAAGCTCCACTTCATGAGTCATGATGTGTCTCTTTAGGAAGATTTATGAACTGGTCCTGAGTTACACCGTCTTTAAAGGTGCATCGCTCTTTAATTTCTCAAGCAGCAATACCTCACGGCAAAGGCCGAACGCTTATTGTTGTCCCTCTTATGTAACACTTTAAATTTCATAGAGTGAACATGATAGGGAAATGGTGCTCAAAACTGCTTCATTAGGATTTGTATTTCCTTAAATCGTTTATTAGAATTGGGGTATTCGTTTATTAGAATTGGGGTATCTGAAATGCATAGCATGCTTCTTCTTTACCAAGAGATATAAGCGAAACCATTCTGAAATACAAAATAAGGAGCGGAGATACCATACAAGTAACAGGGTTTATTGTATTCTTATGCATTAAGTAATGACTGAATTGTCGCGTTGCAATCTTTTCCTCAGCACGTTTTGACAATTTTACCCCTTTTAAAACATATTCATTGGAGTTATTTTTACCTCTTAAAAAGAAAAAAAACAAAAAGCAATTCTAGTTGTGGTCCTATGATTTAATGGTGTTTTATATGGTTCATGAACTACTGTACCATAATTGAATCTGTTTCCTTTTCTTTTTCTTATTAGTTTTTTTTTTCTAAATTCATTTTTTTTTCACCTTCTTCTCTTTGTCTTTCCACTTTTTTATTTATCAAGCACACCCCCAAAAAAAAAAAAAAAAAAAAAAAAAAAACGTCTACATTTATTTGTCAAAAAAAAAAGGTACATTTAGATTTAAGCACGGTACTACAAATAACATTCTATTTGAATAATTAAAATTTAAAAAATTAATTTCATTAAAGTACCTAAACAAATTCTGGCAAAAAAAAAGTGCCCAAAAAACCCTTTCTTATCGTTACTTTTAAATTAGAAAGTAGTTTAAGAACTCTTACAAATAAAATTATGGGATTCAATCACTTTGAAACCTTATTGAAATAGCAATTCAACTTTTTCTTTCATTTAATATATCCAAATAATAAAAAATCCTAAGATTAAATAGGAATGAGAAAAAATTTGAAAAAATCAAACATTCATTGAAAACTATAGTATTTGGTTAGATTTAGATCAAATTTTTTTATTCTATTCGAATTAAATTTAGATATTAAATATATATTATATTAAGATTGAATAAAATTATATATCTTTATTAGTTTTTATATATTTTTTAAATTTTTATAAAATATGCTTAAATTTATTTAAATATATTAAAAAATATTAAAATAATATATAAAAATTTTAATTTAAAAATCAATGAGTCAAACTTAATTTATAAAATTTGATTTAAATTAGATCAAATCATATAAAAGTTTGGTTTGAATTTAATTTAGATTTTAAAAATTTAAAATTTTATACATCATCTAAAAAATTAAATCAAATCTAAATCGATTCAAACCATTGTTGTTATCATTTTTAATAGTGGATTTTGGATTTCAAATTTGAGTTAGGCTTTTTTTTAATCATTTTTTTATTTTTCAATACATCTATTATCATAGTAGAAGATCTATTAATAAATTGTGAAAATTATTTTTGGCCCAAAAAAAATAAAAATTATACTTATCAAAAGTAATAAAAATATATTAAAAAATAATGAAAGGGAGCCGAACTTTCCAAATTCAGAAGTTGATAGGAATAACTTATGGTTTAACATCATGCAAATTTTCTCTTTCGCTAAAAAATCGGAGGTTTTCTTTTACCCTTTCATTTTGAGATGGATTTTTTTTTTTAATTTTGGATTTGTTAAAGAATATTGAATTTTTAACTTTAGTGAGAATAATTTAATTATCATGATTTTGTATATATATATAATGGCAATTGGGCCAAATTTGCTGGGTCAATTCAGGAAATGAAATAGGTCGGTCCAATTATTGGGCGTAGTTAATTCCTTAATCTAACCTTACTAGCAGTACTTATTTGAGGCTTCTAGTGGTGTGGTTGTTCAGGCAACAATTTGTGACACCACCAAATCTCCGCCGGGGTAATCCTGTAAAATTATACCAGTAAAAGCTGACGCGATCTTTTCTTGTATGTCTCCTCGTCATTCTTTCGCCATTCTTTTTGAGCTGCGTTTCACCTCCTCTCCCACGGGCCCGCAGCGCTCCGATTCTTTCCTAAAAGCAGTCTCTTTCTCTCTCTCTCTCTTTTTTTTTTTGCTCGCAATTGTTGCATCACCAAAGAAAAGGTTAAAGACAGATTTCGTTCGGGTTAGGGTTTCAGCGATTTCTTTCATGATCAGATTCTTTCCCACCAAGATTTCCTGTTCCTGTTCCCAAACAGACCAACTGAAGCTTCTTCCACTCAATCCGTTGTCACTGACACAAACAAAAGGCGATTATGGATTTAGACGGCAGCAACAGGAGCGTCTTCAACCGACTCGGAGGTCCATCAGCCGCACCAACGGACTCCTCCAAACACCAGAAAGTTTGTTACCATTGGCGGGCCGGTAAGTGCACCCGTTTCCCATGCCCTTTTTTGCACCGCGAACTGCCTCATCCTTCGGGCCCCGCCGCCTCCGCCGCTAACGGATCGGGTCACCCCAAACGTTTCGCCGATGATTCCGGATTCTCGGGTCCGGCCCCACGACGAGGCCCGAACTTCAATAATAATCATAATAAAAGTTGGGGAAGAATGGGGGCTAATAAGGTAGTTAGAAAAACGGAGAAAGTATGTAATTATTGGGTGCAAGGGAACTGTAATTACGGAGATAAGTGTAGGTTTTTACATTCTTGGAGTTTAGGTGAAGGTTTTACCATGTTGAATCACCTTGATGGGCACCAGAAAGTAAGTGTCGTTACTTTTTTTTTTTTTTGTTATGTTAATTCTTGGGAGTATGTGACTCTGATGATGGGTTTGTTTTGTGGACAGGTTGTTACTGGAATTGCGTTGCCAGCAGGTATGGATAAGCTGTATACTGGGAGTAAAGATGAAACTGTGAGGGCTTGGGATACCAACTCCGGTCAGGTTGTAATTAACTTTGTTTCTTTCTCCTTTTTCTATTTGGACTTTTAATTTGGTTTTTAGCATCTTGGAAAGAAAAGATAAGAAATTTATGTAAGTCTCCAAACTTGATTAAGCATGTGACTTTAATCAACTTCAAGAACAGAAATCTCCATAAAACTGTTTCTAAATTTTTAGTGTTATCCTGTGCTGTGTGATCAAATTATTTAAGAAAAAGAGGCCAAGAGGCAATTGCTTGGTAGAAGTGTCCATCTGCACAATGAGATAACTTAAAGGCCGCTGTTTATGTTTCTATGGAATTGCTAAATTGCTAAACATCCAAGAGATCATGCAGATTGCCTACTATTTTATTATGATGTGAAAGTAAAAGGGGAGTCAATTATAGATTGAAATTACTTTCAGTAGTCTTCATGTGTTAGTTTTTGTCAGCAATTATCTTTTAGGTAAATCCTCTTAATTATTATATTTTTGTCTGATGTTCCCTTTGGCCTTTAATGTAGTGTATGGGTGTGATCAATCTTGGTGGTGAAGTGGGTTGCATGATAAGTGAAGGTCCTTGGCTGTTTGTTGGCATACCGAATGTTGTCAAGGTAAGATTCGAGGCAAAGTCTCTACCAGTTGTTTCTTCTCTTTTATATTGTTATCTCATTAGAAATTAGAAGAGCAATAAGTTTTCCCATTGCTGGGCTCAACAACAATCATTTTGCAGGCATGGAACACCCAAACTAACCAAGAGCTTAGTCTTAGTGGACCTGTTGGGCAAGTATATACTATGGTTGTGGGTAATGATTTGCTTTTTGCTGGTACACAGGTAATGTTCTAAATATTAGTTTATTCTTCTAATTTTCTTTATTTCATTTGAAATTCCATGTTCACTGTGTGTGATCAGTCACCTTTCATCATTATGTTTTCTGTTATGGATTTTGCCATATTATTGTGCCATAATACCTTGTGAAATTGAGGTATGTTCTTTTTGGTGGTCTGACATTCATCGTCTCATAAAGTTGTCACTTACCTTGAAGGTGCTGTAATAGATGCAAACGGGCTTTTTCTAAAAGAGCCCAAGATTTTTGAGGAATCAAAATTGAAGTTTGTGCTGGATGATTCTCACTCTGGGAACATGCATACGTCTTTTAATTTGCTACCATCTCTCTATTTCTCTAGCACTCTAGTACTTATCCTCAGGAAACAATATCTGTTTATTGCAGGACGGGACTATTTTGGCATGGAAATTTAACGCCATCACCAACAGCTTTGAACCAGCAGCATCACTTAAAGGTCATACCCTTGCAGTTGTATCTTTAGTTGTTGGAGCTAATAGACTATACTCTGGTTCCATGGACCATTCTATAAAGGTAAGGTAGTTTTAGTCTTGTATTTTCAACCCACCATTAATATTATGTTTTGCTGTTATTCCTTTATTTTCTTTTTTCTTTCGTAGAAGATTATCATTTTTACTAACATATTAGTTGCTTACTTTCAGCTCTGGAGTCTGGAAACTTTGCAGTGTCTACAGACTCTGACAGAGCACACTAATGTTGTGATGTCCTTGCTTTGCTGGGAACAATTTCTTTTATCTTGTTCATTGGACCAAACAATAAAGGTTTGTGCTATTTTAGGGTTATTCTATCTTTTTTTCTTATTTTGTTTTCCTGTCATTAAAGTTTAAGTTGTTTGAATTTTTTTTTTGCAGGTGTGGATGGCTACTGAGAATGGACTGTTGGAAGTAACATATACTCACAATGATGAACATGTATGTTGTTTCATTATTACATTATGCATGCTGCATTTTGATTTAACACAATTAGTTGTAAAAGGAAATGGATTTGAGGACAGAATGGTAGAAGTAAAAACTGAATGTAGAGGAGAGGAGATCACCGATGGTCTTTGCTTGTAGTTTAGGTTAGTTGTTAGAGGTGACAGTTACTGAAGAATGGGGGAATAAACTGTGGTGGTAGTTATAGAAAGTGAAAATGATGAAACGCTACTTAGCGTTGTTGGATGTGTTGGAGAGAGAGATCCTCATGCTCTGGATTTGAGTTTTTTAAATTACTTTATGTGGCAAAATTTTTGGGAGAATGGCTGGGATGGAGAAGAGGATGGTTGATTTTGAGAGGCTTTTAGACTGTATCAACTTGCTTTTCTAGCTAATATCAGAGTAGTTAATTTAGCCAGAATCTTTTTGAGTCTTGATGGTTCCACCTATGTTCTTTGGTGTAAGTTTCTCTTCTATGCTGAAAACAGTAATTTAGAGGCATAAGGGGAAAAGGAAAAAAGAGAGAAGATGCTAATTCTTATTGCAAAAGTTTTTTTTTTTTTTCCTGAAATTTATCTGAGTGTGAATTCCCTTAAAGGCATTAGGACCATAACTGAATACTGGTAAGGGCTTTTTTCCTTTTTCCTTCCCTTCTCCTCTGACAGCCATGGGATCTACAAAACCACTGATTCATATGTTGTGAGGTTTAAGGCTAATATGTTGAGAATTTGGAGAATTGAGTCTGCTTTTCAGGGTAGGGATAATCTCCAATGTTTTGGTGATCTTAGCAAAAGAGTTGAAGAATATGGATGACCCAAAGTACTGTCCAAGTTTCATATATGATTGAGCAAGTCTTGACCAGTACACTGACCCAAACTCTTTTTGGAGTTTTATTTCACCATAAAAACCCCCTTAGGATTATTTATTAATTACAGGTGTCAGTAAAAGCCGGGTAGAGTAGGAAGTTTGCTTTCAATCTAGACAAACTGTATTTGGAACTTTGACTTGAACTTACACTACTTGGATGTAGATTGTAAGATGAATACATGAGGATGAAATTTAATCTGTTTAGTCAGGTCTGTTTCTAAAAGTTTCTTGGATTTGTTGTAAGTCAGGATAGCTTGATCTTCAATATTCATGCTTCTATTCTAGATATACATCGTTGTCAAAGCTTGGTTTTGTTCATTGTAGTGCAAAATGCAAATGTTTTGAGTTTTTCTTGTTTCTCTGTTGGTTTAATGGCCCAAAAGAACGTCAGGATGTCAGTTTAATGCCCCAAAAAGAACTTCAGGAAGATTTTCATATAGTAAATGGTTTCATTTCTGTCTTTCAGCTTTTTAATTTTATTTCCTAGGATCTTGTGCATTGTTTAACACGAACTGTTGGTTGCTCTTTCCAGGGCCTGCTTAATCTTCGCGGAATGCATGACTCAGAATCCAAGCCTGTCTTGCTGTGTGCATGCAATGACAATTCTGTCAAGCTCTATGATCTGCCCTCGTAAGTTTTAATGGAGACTTGCTTTTATCTTAGTGCACATTTGTTGTTTCACCTTCTTGGGTCCTTTCATGCTGCTTATGGAAATATTGTTTTCCTATCCTTATGATTGAAGGTTCTCGGAGAGGGGTAAAACTTTTGCTAAGCAGGAAATTCGAACCATTGAGGTGGGCCCTGGGGGCCTGTTTTTCACCGGCGATGGAACTGGTTTTAGAGTGTGGAAGTGGGCAGAACCAATTGCGAAGCCCTGATGCATTCCGCCATTTGATAACATATTCATCATTATGTATTTTCGCTGATTTTTTTTTTCATCCTTTTGTTTTGGTCTTTTGTAGTATTGAGTTTGCGGGAGAAATTACGAGTTAGAGAAAACAATTTTGGGTTCCTGGTGTAATGTTTATTAGCACCAAGCCCTTCACCATGGTGTCATAAGTAAATATAAAGAACACTTGATAACTCAGATTATAGCAGCATTATGATTCAATAGCAGTTGGGAATGATTAGATGTGGTGTGCCAAATTGAATTGGAATTTTAGAGGATGGCGTTTTAGATAAAACAACCGATTTTTCCAACTGCTTTCCCCGTTTACTGTGCCGTTTTTTTCCCTTTTTTTCAGTATGTTCTCTGCTTTTGGAATGAATTATATGAATTATACTGGCTGATGGTTTTCTTATGTAGTCTGAGCAAATTCATACCACTAAACAAATGGAAGAAGCAAATCTCTGTTTTGTGTTTTTATGGTGGATGTCTTGTGCTTTCATATCAAAAGATAAATCTTTTGAACTGTACTTTTGAAAGTAGAAAATGAGTAACAAAATTAATAATGAATCATACAGCCGTGTAACAAAACAAAACAAAAGTATTATCATGATCATCCGTTGTTCACCAGATGCCAAACTAAGTAGCTCAGAAATGTCTCACGAAAAATCTGCGAAAACATTAAATTTATTACATATACGGCAAAGTATTTAAAGAAGCCCATTGTGTAGTTAGTTTCCACTTTCCATACGATACTATTTTATTAGAATAAACGTCTTTCTTCACTCAACCTATCTTAAATGTTCACATACAAGTATCTTTTATCTTGATGAAGTCACAGATTAAACATGACCTTAATGGCATTGCCACCACGAGCACTGGTTTCAAAAGCTTCTTCTACCTCTTTCTGAGAAAACCCAAACCTGTGGGTTATTAGAGGCTTCACATCAATCTTACCACTTCTTAGAAACTCAAGGCACAAAGGCCATGTGTTCTTATATCGGAAGATTCCAATAACATCAACCTCCCTGCATTTCAACCATCATCCAATTTGCGGTGAAGGAGCAAAATAGTTAAAAGACTCCAGAAATCATACCTTTAATATCTACCCCCAATTCTCTCCACAAATCATTGTAACACATGCAATTTTCATTTGTAAGTATTAGCTTCCAACAATTTACCATGTCTAATTTCCAACAATCAATCACAACTAAACCACACATAATGCTTAACCACCATTAGTTGAATAAATCACTAAAATAAGTACCTTGTAGCAGCTGGAGTGAGTGGGACAGTCATCTCCGTATGGCCCATTCCCACAAGGCAAACCTTGCCACCAGCACTAGTGGCAGTCAGTGCAGTTGACATCGTTTTGTTTAAGCCCGCACAATCAAAGCTTACATCCACTCCTGCTCCCATTGCTTTACATATTCTTTCAACTTCTTCAGGTATGTCCTGTAATATAATGGAATTAGAACATAATTAGATCATAAAACTATCTAAAAGTCAGATAATGGAGTAAAAGATCCTCATGACGTTATATATTTGACAAACCTTAAAATAAATTTGAATAAAAACATGACATTTTAAATAATGCTGATTCAAAAGTAATTGAATTGAAAAGAATTTCTAGGCATTTTTGCTAGGCAAAAGAAAAAGGAACTTCAAAGATGTTATGAACCTGCATATTAGTTGATACTTTAACAACCTCATCAGCACCAAGATCCTTGGCAACAGATAGTCGATTATCATTCACATCTACAATGACAATTCTAGGCGCCCCAAAAGCCCGAGCTGCCAACATTGTAACAAGCCCTATAGGTCCTGCCCCCATAACCAACACATTTGTTTCTGGACCAATATTAGCTCGGCGACAGGCATGAACCCCTACACTCAAGGGCTCACACATAGCCCCTTCTTCCAAGCTCACATTGTCTGGCAGTTTGAAACACAAATATGCCGGATGCACAACCTACATTGGACATCAACTTATACATTATCTTAAAGTCCAAAAGATTTGATTCCATCAAATTCATTTCCAATCTCTCTAGTAAAAATGCAAACGAAAATGACCAACATGCATACAATATGCAGCTGATGAATGTTTACTTCTGAATGAGAAAGCCATTACATTCTCATCTAGTCCCCTAGCATGATATCAGGCATGAACATTAGCCAAACCTTTAAAACCAACTTGACTGTAGGACAAATCTCCCATGTTTATGCTAGCTTTGAAGATGATCACATAGTTAGATATTTTTCATAATGCTTCTTTTTTTCTTTTGAGAATATAATTCTTATACTCTACAATGTAGGAAAAGTCTTAGCGAGTTAGTGTTGCAAGGTCCCACATCAAGCATGACTTTATTTGTAAGAAAATGACATTTAGAACTACAAGAAACATTACATTCAACAGAGACCATAATATAAACAACTAAATGAGTTAGTAAAGGTAACAATTTTAGACACAAGGATCCCAATTTACATTGTCAATTGTATCCTTGAAGCCTTAGGAATCTGAAAATCGAAAATTACCCATTAATAAACCTCTAAAATAAAACTTGAGACTTTTTGGATCAAGGACCCCTAATAAAATATTGTCGCTGTAATGGCTATGCAGCACTATTAGTTTCACACATGATGATTTACTTAATAAACATCAGGTAGTCAGTATAGCAGTTAAGCAAAAACATGTTAAACTTTTAGTAGCAAAATGAAGCACCAATAAATAAACTAGAACCTATGCTGAAATGCAGCTTATAGGTTAACCTGATGGGCAAGAGAACCATGAACTGGTGGAGTGGCAAAAAACTTCATTTCGGGGCATAGATTGTATCGACCTTCCTTGCAAAGATCACATCGCCAGCAACTGATCCCTGGTTCCAAAGCCACACGGTCTCCAGGCACTAAATTCTTGACTTCACTGCCAACCTCCTCTATGATTCCCGCACACTCATGCCCAATCACCATTGGTTCTTTCACCACAAAATCGGCCAATCTCAATGTCTAAAAAGACATAAAAAAATTACAAATAAACTAACGGCAAAGATAAGAAAAAGGATGCGCAATTCATTTTCGTCATTTACCCTGATTCATTTTTATCATTATCCATTTGATTGGCAAAGAAATGAAGGTAAGGGACAGAAAAGCAGTTATCATAATTACTGTTAAATACTATTGTTTAGAAAAGGAAGCAAATTTACTCAAGTCAAATACTTGTAATAAGACCAAAAATTCTGTCTTTGATTCATTTGTTAGAGTCTCAGCAAGAGAACTATCAAAATCTGGTAAGTCTTAGTAAGAATAATATTTGATTAATTCATATTAGAAGAGCAAGAAGTAGGTGAGAGAAGGATACACCTTCAGGAAGTGAACATCACTTCCACATATGCCAACAGCTTTCATCCTAACTTTGACATCATGGGGTCCTTAAAATAAATATTGACCAAGAACACAAAGAGAAGTAATCAATAAATAAGAAAGAAAATGAGCAAAAGGGTTATCTGAAAACTTAGTCATAATTCATAAATTTAAAAATGAAATAAACACAAAGAACACAGAATGAAAACAAAGGTTAATACTGATCATGAATATCGTACCAAGAGGAGGGAGCTTGAATGGTTGAATCTTGAGGGTGTTGAGACCCACTAGCCAAGCAGCCATGTTTTCTTCTTCTTCATGAGATTTCCCTCCTTTACCCATTTTCTTCCTTTCGTTCTGTGGACACTCACAAGTCACAAACTGGACTTTGTTCAGAAAGAACTAGATTTATAGGCTTAAAAGTGTTTAGTATTTCTGCAAGTATCCCTTTAAAAAATGTTTGTGACTGACAATCGGAGAGGATAAACCATTAAAAAAATATATACTCATGACATTATTTTATAAAGCGGGTCCCTTCTTTTTGTGGCAGTTACTCAGTAAATCCAAACACGCTACTATCTAACCTTTATTCTTTCTATCTTAGTATCTTATCTTTATCCTTTCTATCTTATCTTAATCCTTTCATTTAAGTTTGATAGCCTAAAACGTAACATAATAATATAAAATTAATTCGAATAAAAAATATAAAAATAATATAATTTAAAATTTTAATAAAAAATATAAATAAATTTAATAAAATTAAAAATATATTTTATATTTTTATATCAACATAAATTATAATATATAATTTTTATATAAAATATTATACAAATATATAAATTATTAATATTTTATACAATACAAATACATAAATTATTATATTTACTTTCATTAATAGCATTAGTTTACAGAAAATATATACAAATATGAATTCGTGCCTTGATTATCATCTCGTTTTATATTCGTGGTATATGTAAAAAGAATGATTAAATTATAAAAAAGATTAGTCAATTTTTTAGTATGCAATGATTTGATCCAAAAGACGAGGATTATTTTTAATTTTATAAAATTAGATATTAAATATTTATAAATTATTTATTTTATTTTTAAAATTACATTTAAAATTTAACTTAAATATTTTATAAATTAATAAGTGTCATTATTTAGTTGATTAATCTAAATTATTTTTATTTTATTTTTTCCTTTTTTTCTATTTATTCTTTTTCTTTTTTTAATTTTTCTTTTTTTTCCTTATTTTCTTTTTTTTTTGAATAAATAAAAAATATAGTTTTCGTAAAAAATAGTTTTTTGAAAAATCAATTTACATTTTAAAAAAATAAATTTAACTCTTAACTATAAAAACTGTTTTACATTAAATATTTTTTAATTATTAAATTTAAATAAAATTTTTTCTTTTTTTCATTTTCCATTTTTGTCTTCTCATTTTTCTTTCTTCTCATTTTTATTTTTTTTATTTTTTTCCTTTTTCTTGTCGAGAGGAAGAACAAAAGAAAAGAAGAGAAAAAATAAAAATAAAGACAATGGATAAATTATATTTCTAATAATTTTTTTTCAAGAAAACTTAACTATTTTTTTAGAGAAACCATTTTTAAAAAATAATTTGAGATATCAATTATATAATTTATTTTAAATTTAAATTATCAAAAAACAAGAAAGCAAATGAAAAAGAAAGAAAATAATAGGAAAAAATAGTGAAAAAATATTTTTCATAAAAGTTAAATTTAAAAATATTTAGTTTATTTAGAAAATAAATTGATTTTCTAAAACAATTTATTATTCTATTAAAAGATAAATTTAAAAGAATAAAATTAACTATTATCTATAAACATTATTATAGAATATTTACTTTTTAGTTAAAAATTTTTTGAATACATTTATATAAAAAACTATAATCTTAAATTATTATTATTATTATTATTTTAAAGAATAATAATTTTGATTAATAAAAAAAATTAGTTTATTATATTATTAATTTGCACATAACAAAAATAGTGAAAAATAAAAATCATTCAATCATATTCTTAATTAATTATTACATACATTAAACATAAGATAAGATTAAATGATATTATTTAATCTAATTTAATCATTTTTAAGATGTGTTTGGTACAAAAGATTATGATAAAATAAGATAAGATATTATGATTATTATTAAATTAAATAATATCATCTTATCTTGTATTTGATGTATGCAAAAATTAAGATATGATAACTTATTTATTGATCAAAATTATCATTTTTCAAAATTTTATATAATTTAAAATATTGATATAATTTTTAAGGGTATAATAGTATATATAAGTTTAATCCTATTGATTAAAAAAATTCTCTCAATTTTGGAAGGATTGAATCATCATATACTAAGAAGATGATTAATTCTCCTTATAATTAATTATTATGCTATTCTATTCATCATCCTATTTATCAAACATTACCTTATAATATTATATCAACATATATTATCTATAATTTTGTGAACCTATGGCACATTTAATTATATAAATAACATGACTGCCTGAATTTTATATTAGAGATATGAAAATTACTTCCTTTGTATATAAATCAGCCATTAATTAAGAAAAGAGAATCTAAATGTTTTTAAGTAAATTAAAGTTTACCAATTTATAAAACACTTCAAATTTATGATGTCAAGGAAATTATGTTGTGTTATATTTAGATAATTCTTTCAATAATTTCATATCAAATTCTTGTTAAGTAAATACATTATAAAAATTTCATATCCTAACGTTTAGTTATACTGACAGTCAAATTTCATTAGTAAAAGAGATTTTTACTGATGATTTTTATTACCGTCATAATATATCATACTTATACCAATACATTATTTAATTGTCGGTATAAATAAACTTTTATGACAGTATCTGACTATCCATCAGTATAAATATGTTATATACTAATGGTTATTAATGTAACCGTCGGTATAGGCTCAAAACAAAAAAAAAAAAATTGTTGGCTTGCAAAAAATTGAATGAGATTATTAAAGGCGTTTTAGACAAAAAAACACCTTCAATAATCTATTCAAAAAAATTTGAAGAAAGATTATTGAAGGCATTTTTAGCCAAAAATGCCTTCAATAATCCATACAAAAAATTTTGTATGGATTATTTACTGATAGTCAAATTTCATCTGTAAAAAAAATTTTTATCGACAGATTTTTAATACCGTCAGAATATAGCATACTTATACCGATACTTTATTTAACTGTTGGTATAAATAAATTTTTTCTAATGATATATGACTATCCATTAGTATAAATTATAGTTATACTTACGGTTATTAACGTAACCGTTAATATAGGCTCAAAAAAACTATTGGCTTACAAAAAATTGAATAAGATTATTAAAGGTGTTTTTGGCAAAAAACACTTTCAATAATTCATTCAAAAAATTTTAGAGAGGGATTATTAAAAGCGTTTTTGACCAAAAATGCCTTCAATAATTTATTCAAAATTTTTACAGGAGATTATTGAAGGTGTTTTTAGCTAGAAATACCTTAAATAATCCCTTACAAAAAATTAAATATGATTATTTAAGGCATTTTGGCTAAAAATGCCTTGAATAATCCATTAACAAAAATACTGGAGCAGCTCAGTTGGTTATAACATACGACTATTAATCATAAGGTCGTAGGTTTGATCTTTTCCTTTAGGATTTTGAGGGTTTTTTAAGGAATTATTGAAGGCATTTTTAGTTAAAAACGTCTTGAATAATCTTTTACAAAAAATTAAATAGGATTATTAAGGTGTTTTTTTACCAAAAATGCCTTGAATAATCCCCTTCAATTTTTCTGAGAGAATTATTTAAGGTATTTTTTTGTCAAAAATGCATTGAATAATTCATTAACAAAAATATTAGAGCAGTTCAATTGGTTAGAGCATACGACTATTAACCATAAGGTCATAGATTTGATCTTTTCTTCTAGCATTTTAAGGGTTTTTCAAAGGATTATTAAAGATATTTTTGATCAAAAACGTATTGAATAATCTTTTATAAAAAAATTGAATAATCTATTAACAAAAATACTATAGCAGTTCAATCGATTAGAGTTTATAGCTATTAACCATAAGATTGTAGGTTTGATTCTTTCCTTTTTTAAGAAATTATTAAATGTGTTTTTGATCAAAAATATCTTAAATAGGGATTGAATCTACGACCTTATGATTAATAATCATATGTTTTAACCGACTAAGCTACTTTGATGTTTTTGTTAATAGATTATTCAAAATATTTTTGACCAGAAACACCTTGAATAACCATAAGGTCATAGATTTAATCTTTCCTTCTAGCGTTTTGAAGATTTTTTAAGGGATTATTAAAGATGTTTTTGGTCAAAAATGCATTGAATAATCCCTTACAAAAAATTGAATAGGATTATTCAATGCGTTTTTGGCCAAAAATGCCTTGAATAATCTGTTAACAAAAACACTTAAGCAATTCAATTGGTTAGAGCATATAGCTATTAACCATAAGATCGTAGGTTTGATTCTTTCCTTTTTTAAGGGATTATTAAAGGTTTTTTTTAATCAAAAACACCTTAAATAGGGATTGAACCTACAATCTTATGGTTAATGATCATATGTTTTAACCGACTAAGCTACTTCGATATTTTTGTTAATAGATTATTCAAGATATTTTTAGTCAGAAACACCTTGATAACCTTATTGAATGTTTTATAAGGGATTATTCAAGACGTTTCTAGTAAAAAATGCCTTGAATAATAAAAAGAATGGCAAGCTAATGAATTTAAATCATTTTCTTTACCTCCACCTCTCACCGACTCTACATACTTAATCTCTACCTCCCACCGGCTCTATATACTTAATCTCCACCTCTCACCAACTTTTTTCATCTCTCACCGACTCTACAAACTTAAACCTATCGGCACCCATTTTATTTTAGAGCTAAATCAAAGCTAAAGCATCAAAACTCTTGTCATTTCTCAAAGGTATTTTTCATTTTTTGCATTTCAATTTTGTGTCATCAAGCATGCTTTTTTTTTTTTTAATATTTTTGGCTGTATTAAATGAATCTAGGCTCAATCTTTGTCACCTCAAAATGTAAATAAGGGCTTGAAAATGTTATTAGCAGTACTGTTTTTGTTAATGGAACAGCTTTAATAAAAAAATAGAAGAAAACTTCATCTATTCTACTATGAATTGGTGGCCTCTTGATAAATGAGACTATGGAATATGTAGCTGGGGAATAGCTTCTCTTCTTAATCTAGTAAATAACTTATCTTTAGGCCTCTCAGATAAAACCATCACAAAAAAATCATTCTTTATAAAATTTTAATGCTTGCTTCGCTTTTACAAGAATTTCTTAAATAATAGTCTAGCTAATCAAGAAATGAATTGTGTGGCTCTGGCATTAGAACAAGAGTTGCAGCAGATCAATATGTATCTGATGTGAATAATCTTCAAAATATTGTTCAAAATATATATAGCGGATTTGAGGTTCAGTCATTAGTAATAGCACTAGGAGGATTCTTTGATGCAAACCTCAAGCATCATGTTTGTAGACATTCAATCATAGATATTGATTTTTTTTCTGGATTTGGTACAATGATGTTAGTTCTTGACTATTTTAAATTTGTGGATTATAAAATAATTTGGTTGTTGTTTTATTTCAAATGTTATTAAATACTTTTACTTTTTTTTTGGTATTTTTACTCTATTTGAAATCATATCATATTATGATTGTAAATAAATTAATATTAATAATTAAAAATATAATTAAAAAAAAATGCCTTAAAATTTATACCAATGCATTTTACTATTGAAATATTTCAGGCTATACTGACAAACATTAACCATCAGTATAAGTAAGAAATATTAAAACATACAAATCTATACAGATGAATGTTAACCGTCGGTAAAAAGTATAATGGTTTAATACACAACAGATGTTATACTAATAAATATATATTTACTAATGGTCTTGAACTATAAGTATATCTTTGTAGGCTATTTTTACATCTTAAAAACTGTCAGTAAAAGTCTATACTGATAAGAGATATACTAACGGTTAAAAATTCATCGAAATACATATTTTAATCAACGATATAGAGTTTATGATACTATACTAAAAATTTTGAAGTTTTATTGATACTTTTTTAACATTACTATATATCAAATTTCTTATAGCAATATTGCTTTACATTTCGACTTATTTGCTCTTTATAAGTTACATATTGCTTTACATTTTAACTTAATCACTTTATAATACCTTCAAATTCAGTGGGACATAATTTTTTTTTTGGCTCAATTACATAAAGTAATACTTAATTACTTTGTAATTTATTTTATTTATATTTTTTTCCAAGACTGTGTGACTTTTATTTCCAAATAAGCTTTAGACTGTTTCTTCTCACCAAAACCAGAAATCGTGTTCATCTTTAATTTTGCACGCACTTACATAAAAGTCATTCCAAAGCAAAGGCTTTTTATTCCTTCTTTCTTCTTTTTTTTTTTTTAATCCCTTATCCAAGTCTTTTGCAAAAGTAAGTTTTTTTGCAATTTTTTATTATTTGCAAAATGAGTATGAATGTGAATTTTGTCATTTCAAGTTTCTGAGTTTTTTATTATTTTGTAATTTCAAGTTTTCAATTTTTTTTTCAAGAAAGGATATAGTTTTTATAAGAAGAAAAGAAGAAGGAGATCTTGTATCTTTAAAAATCAAAGGGTGATAGATAGTTTTCAAATTTTTTATTTCTCTTTCTTTTTTCCTTTTTTTTTTTTTTATTCTTTATATCCAAGTCTTAAATGCATTCTTTATCCAAGGCAAGTTTTTGAGATTTTTTATTATTTTAAAACTGATTATGAATGTGAATTTTGTAATTTCAAGTTTTTTATTTTTATTTTTTTGAGAAATGGTCTGAATCAGATTTTATCATTTATCATTTAAAAAAAAAGTATGACTTAGATTTTATCATTTATCATTAGAAGAAAAAAAAAAAGCTTTTGATGGCTGTAAATGCCATGGTAATTACACTTACCTCAACCTTCTTTGATTTTTTTCTTTTTCTATTTCTTCATTTTTGATGTGTTGAAAATTTTGGAGTAATAAAAACTTTTTTTTTTTTTACCTGAACCCAAATCCCTAATTTTGAACTTAATTTCTTCCTAGATTTGTAGTAAAAAATCACATATACTAACCCAGAAAACACATGAAAAGTCCAATTAGTTAAAACCTTTGAACCATCTAAAAAAAATTTACCCTCCAATATATATTGATCAAACCCAAACTCATTATGTTTTCTTTAGCGAACTCTAAAATTAAACACGTATTAAAAACCTAAAAAATTGAATATTGATCAGTAAATCAATATTCATGATATGTGTAATAGTAAAACCAAATCAAAATTCACAAAGGAGATAATAAAAAGAAGAGTGTAGCTATAAAAGATTAAGCAAGTACAGAGGAAAGAGTAAAAGTTCACCATTTCACCATGCTTGGTAAATCTCCATAACATTTGCAAGAAAAAAAATTTGGGGAGCTCGTAGATTGAAGATAAAAAGAGCAAAATATATATATATATATATATTTTTTTTCTCAAAATGAAGAACAAGGAATTAAGAAAAAAAATCATTCAGCAAATAAAAAGAAAATATGGCTAATAGTGTTATGTTTAATAATAAATGAGAAAATTATAAGTTGATAAAGTATCACTTTTTAAAATACCAAATTTATTTAGCATCAAACCGATCTATTTATGCAATTTACGGATCGCAGTTTAAAAATTGAAAATCAAGAATTAAGCATCTACATTGAGGAAAGACCTTAATTAGAGATCGTTGGAGTAGGAGTGTAAATGATACATTAGTACTCGTAAGTTACTCAGGTTCGATTCAAATCAAATTCGAATTCGATTTGATTATTATCGAGTTGAATTCAAGTTCGAATAGCTTGACTTATCGATCGAGTCGAGTTCGAGTATTCTTATACTCAGCTCGAGTAGCTCGCGAGTCTAATCGAACTTTTATATTTAAATTTTTTTTATTTTTTTAATTAATAAAATATCTTAAATTCGAGTTCGAGCTCGAGCACAAATAATCGAATTCTTGTGGAAAATAAGAATCGAACTTATTTTAACATATTAATCGAGCTTAATTGAGTGAGTTCGAGTAGTTCGATTTCAATTACGAATCGAGTTTGAGTTAAAAAAATAAAATTCGATCGAGTTCGAATCGAGTATCGAGTCTTGAGTTAAAAATCGAATTCAAACTTAAATTTTTTACTGTATCAATTCGACTCGACTCGATTACACTTGAGATCAAAAAATAACTCCTAACAAAGGCAGTTTGTTAGATAAGATTCCCTGACGAATGATAAAAAAGATATGGGCGGCTGTTTCAAGGATAAGGTAGTTTGGAGCGTGTCAACTGAGAGAGAGAGAGAGAGTGGAGAAAAATAAATCAGAGATGGCACATGTTGGTGAAATTCAGGTCGACGAAGATGATGGGGAGAATAATATGGCAGCTTGGCTGCTTGGGATCAAAACCCTCAAAATTCAACCTTACCATCTTCCTCCTCTCGGTAACATCTTCTTTACTTTTACCTGTGTTTTTTTATCATCAAACTGCATACAAACACATGCATGCGTGGACAACGCCATCCCCATGATATATGTGTATATATATATATATATATATATAATAGAAACAGAACAAGAAATTTTGCAATCTTATTGCTACAGTCAGTAATTTATGATTCAACCGCTTGATTGAAAAGGGTACTTAATTGGAAACCAGTATTGAATGTGAAAAGGACATATCGACCAGTGACCCAAGACAGCAGTGAACTTGAAATTTGAGCATGATGATTTGGTTGCCTGTAAGGCTATAACCCATGTTAGTGGCTGTGATTATAGGTCTTATGTCTAAATATTTGAGTTAAAATATGAGTAAATTGTGATTATAACAAACTTTAACTGAAATTTTCAGACATGTCTTTTCTTAATCATATCTCTTACCCCCATTTATCATTTTTATTCCTCTTTTGAACAAGACTTCATTTTTCAAATTGAGTTTATCAACTATGATTGGACTAGATTATATTACCATATACTTGATCAGCAATCGAATGGACAATTGAATTAATACTCAGTTATGTTGTGGAGCAATTATCTGTCGTCTTAGGTCCTCATGATGTGAAAGTGGGCATAAAAGCTCTTGGCATTTGCGGAAGTGACGTTCACCATTTCAAGGTGAATTGCTCTCTGCCATATCATGTTTTGTATTTTATATAATTGCTCTGAATTCTGATTATAGTCTAAGACCCTGATCTAAGTGCTCTGCTTGTTACCAGACAATGAGGTGTGCAAATTTTATTGTTAAAAAACCAATGGTTATTGGACATGAGTGTGCTGGGATCATAGAAGAAGTAGGAAGCGAAGTGAAATCCTTGGCAGTAGGAGATCGCGTGGCATTGGAGCCTGGCATTAGTTGCCAGAGATGCAATCTCTGCAGAGATGGCCGCTACAATCTTTGTCCAGAAATGAAGTTCTTTGGATCTCCTCCAACTAATGGCTCTCTTGCCAATAAGGTGATCAGCATTTATCCAGCTTATTATGATATATGACGTTTGCTTGACAAGTGGAAACATGCACTCCTTTTGTTCTGTGCTATCAGGTGGTACATCCTGCAAATCTATGTTTTAAACTACCTGAAAATGTGAGCCTGGAAGAGGGAGCAATGTGTGAACCCCTCAGTGTTGGAGTCCATGCCTGTCGCCGGGCAGAAGTAGGTCCTGAAACAAATGTGTTGATCATGGGAGCAGGTCCCATAGGCCTTGTTACCTTATTGGCTGCTCGTGCATTTGGAAGCCCCAGAATTGTCATTGTTGATGTTGATGATTGCCGTCTATCTATTGCAAAGAATCTGGGTGCAGATGAGATTGTTCAAGTTTCAACAAATATTCAGGTTAATCTCCTTCATCATTTGACCCTAAAGTTTGTTTCATCCCCGTAACTTTTAGGCTTTAGATGTTGAATTCAAGACGCTCACCAGATGATTCTACAGGATATGGGTGAAGAAGTGGCGAAGATACAAAATGCTATGGCTTCAAAGATTGATGTGAGTTTTGATTGTGTTGGTTTCAACAAAACCATGTCTACAGCTTTGAATGCCACAGGAACAGGTGGAAAAGTTTGCCTTATTGGATTGGCGCAGAGCGAAATGACCATCCCGCTCACTATGGCAGCTGTGAGGTAATTGAACTTTTGACAATTTGATAAAACCAACACCATGAGTTACTGCAGCTCCGCTTTAATACTAGTATCAGAATACACACGAATCAAGCAAAAATTTGGATTCTCTTCATTCATTTCTTTTTGCGCATGTTTCATATTATATTGGAGTAATGTTACTAAGTTTGCTGGTTGACAGGGAGGTTGATGTAATTGGCATATTCCGGTACAGAAATACCTGGCCACTCTGCATTGAATTCTTGAGGACCGGAAAGATTGATGTGAAACCCCTCATAACTCATAGGTTTGGATTCTCTCAAAAGGGTATAGAAGATGCTTTTCAAACCAGTGCTGCTGGTGGCAATGCCATTAAAGTCATGTTTAATCTGTAATCCATCCTTAGTCAAAAGAGAATGGGAATTATCTGCATATAATATAGCGTAAAAGATGTGAAATGGTCAATTCTTCTGTTGAGCCAGTGCCATGATTATTTCTGAATCTCAGTCTAGTTGCTTCTCGAAATGGCTTTGTTAATATACTCTCAAGAAATAATGTGTTCTTTCGTTTGGCATTAATTTCGCAGTATAATAAAGGAGGATAGCATATAGAAGCTTAACTAGATTACTATGCTCAATAAGATGAGATGCAAATCCATCACAGCTAACTTTTGAATCAACATCGCAATAAGCCAAAAGATCATCTTGGGGCATTCCGCTCAAGTGATATTAGGTGGTTAACGTCCATTAAGACTTTTCAGCACTGATGCTTGTACCAATCCGACTGCACTATAACGGCAATGCACTGAGGAAATGAAGTCCATCATTACTAGGATCTTTCAAATAATGCAGCTCTCCGAAATACTTGATGTCATCTATTTACTTCAATGGAGCTCCAACCAGATGGCTTATGCACATTGTTCCTCTCCATCAACTCTCTCATTTTTGTAGCAGCATCCCATCTATCTGAGCTTGCATAAGCATTTGACAAGAGAACATAATTTCCACTGTTAGAAGGATCAAGTTCGAGAAGCTTGTTTGTGACAATCTCAGCTAATATCACATTTCCATGAAGCTTACATGCACTTAATAATATCCTCCACACTACCACATCGGGTTGTATAGGCATTGTTTTTATGAACTGATAGGCCCTCTCTAAATAGCCAGAACGACTTAAAAGATCCACAACACAGCCATAATGCTTCATTTCAGGGGTTAGTCCATGAACTTTTTCCATAGTTTCAAAATATTCCAATCCTTTATCTACCAATCCAGCATGAGTGCATGCAAGCAAAATCCCAACAAAGCACCCATAAGTCGGCCGAACACCTTCTTTCAACATCTGAGAGAAATATTCAAGTGCAGAATCAGCAAAACCATTAACAGCAAGTCCTGAGATGACTGAAGACCATGAAACAGAGTCTTTCCCTTTCATATCATGGAACACTTCCAACGCCTTCTCAACCACACCACACTTGCAATACATACCAATCAAAGAGTTTCCAACATAAACATCGGCTCTTATACCATGATTGCAGATATAGTCATGAACTGCTTGTCCAACATCAAGAGCACCCAAATTGGCACAAGCAGAAAGTACACTAGCCACTGTAATCTCATCGGGTACAACCTTAGCAGCCATCATATTTTGGAAAAGCTCCAATGCATCTGTAAATTGGTTAGCTTGAGAGTAACCCGTAATCATAGAAGTCCAAGAGATCACATCCCTTTGCTTCATGTTGTCGAAAACCTTCCTTGCTTCAATAAATTGACCTACTATTATATACCCCTTGATCAATGCATTCCAAGACACTATATTTCTTTCAAGCATCCTATCAAAAACTTCCCGCGCTAAATTAACTAAACCACGTCTGCCATACATATCTATTAAAGTGTTCCCCAAATAAACATCAATATGAATACAATTTTCCTCAATATATTTAACCATGGAATCTGCCAAATCCATGTTATCTGTATAACAACAAGCTAAAATAACTTTCAACATTGTCACAGCATCAGCCTTCACATTAGCTTCTTGCATTGCCCTAAACAAACCCAATAATTCTTTAAACTTTTTGCATTGACTGTACCCACAAATCAAAGAATTCCAAGAAACTAAATCTCTTTCCACCATTGTATCAAACACTTTCCTTGCAAAACCCAAATCACCACAACAAGAATACATATGAATCAGCGCATTTGCAACAAATAAAGAGAAATCAAACCCTAGTTTCACAGCATGAACATGAAACTTTTGACCGTCTTCAATGTCTGAAACTCTAGCACAGGCCTTGAAAACAAAAATAAAAGTCATAATATCACCAGAAAAACCATGGGAATAGTACATTTTGTAGTACATTTTAATAGCTTCGTTGGGTTGCTTACTTTGGGAAAAACCACGGATCATGTAATTAAAGTTTAACAATGTGGGTTGTTTAATTTGATTGAAAACGAGATAGGCTTTGTGCAAATGAAAGGGAGTAAGAGAGTAAGCTTTGATCACGGAAGATATTGAAGTTGGATCGTCGTGGCGTTGGTTCCTGACTAAATATGCGTGAAGCTCTTTGGCGGCGTTGATGGCGAGTGGATTCTTGGTTACTCGTTCTGGTTTTAAAGGCGCTGAGGAGCAGCTGAAACGGCGCGAAATGGGTCTTGCGAGTTTCATGAAGAGTGGTGGTAAGTGGCTCTTGTCGCAGAAATTTGGAGTGAATTTTTGGGACATGAAGGGTTTTGTTGGGCTGACCAATACCGGTTTGTGTTCTTGGGCTCATGCATCCAAATCCTTGTTTTTTTTTTTATTATTTAAAAACAAAGTTTTGATCCATACTCTTTTAACAAGAAACCAAGCGTCAATTATATAAGCAAAGGTCCAAATGCATTTTCTTAATTTTAGATGGATTGAGAAATTATGCATTTTCTTAAGTATACATGCGCCTAGCAAGGTAGAAAAAAAAAAGAAAAGATGGAAAGCATATTATCATAAAATAAAAATAGAGGGGGTCATATATATAGTTTCATTTGATTCATTTGGAGTGGAAATTAATAATCTAAACTTACGATGAATGTCATGAACGAGAAATTTGATTATTATGTTGAATCGTTGATTGTCCATAACTTTACATATGATTGGGATATAGCAATTAAGATCATGATATAGCTTCTTATTTTTTTTTAATCCTTAAGATCAGACTTTTTATTTTTTATAGTTAAGTTATCAAAAATTGAATATTCATTGTTAAACTTAAAATTTAATACTTTATCAATAAATTGTTGACATTAATAAGGAATCCCCCATTCAAATCTCTTAAATATAAAATTTAATATGTGACGGACTTAATAAATTATAGAAAGATGGTTTTTGGGATATAGTATTTTTTTTCTTTCATTGATCAATTAGTTCTTTTTGACCACAAGTTACTTTGATCGGCCTCTGTTCATCGTACTTTATTTTGGACCCGCTACCCATTTGGCTTAATTTTCAAACAAAGGGTAAGTATACATCATCATCAAGTACCATCAGCTCTAACTAATAAAATAAATATAATATTGATTAAGAAAAACTGTGTTTTAAGTAAGCCTATTTGAAGAAATGAAATTTCAAATGTAATGTTTAATTTGTTCAACCTACCAAGTTAAACTCTACCTTTGTTTCAAGTTCAACTTGCCTGCACGGTCAGACCCCCTTTTTTTTTTTTTTTTTCCAAATGACTTACCAGACCTTAAATACATAATTTAAGTGTAAAAGTTTAATTGACGTTATTAGTCTGGATGGCTTGAATATTATCACCGACAACCACCCTGATTTTTAATAGGGCCTTAAATGGTTTTTGATAATAACAAAAAAAATTAGTTTTTGTCAATAATTATGTAAATAATTGATAAAATTTTAGAATTTTAATTTTAATTATTAAAATTTAACTTTTTAATAACTTAGATACCATAAAAAATAGTTTTTGAAAAGGTGCACTGGATGAATATTATGAAATGCTAGATTCAAGGAGGAAAATCAAACCAAACTCTTGAAAAAGGCTAATCGTGGACGGCCTCCAGTGAAACTTGTTTTCCATAAGACAAAAAGGTTTGAATTATTCATTTGGGAAGAAGATCCATTTTAAATTTATTAAACGATTTGAACAGCCATTAGAATTAATATATGTTCATACACTGCTATTTTCACTTATTTTTATTTTATAGATAGTTAAGCTATCTGTTGTAGGCGCAAAGCAGCTGCTACAAACCCAATGAGAGTTAAGCTATTTAGGACGAAAATATTTTCTATAAAGGTGTAGTTGCGGGCGTGGCATATAAGTTTACTATATAAAATAGAAGTGGATAACTGGTTGCTGTCTTTGCTTTTCAAGGCCATGTAGTCTTTTGGTTTGAAAATGGTGAGAGTTATAAGTTAACCACATGCTGACACGGAGATGTCTTGATTCAATTGAAATCCACAACAGTTTGAGCAAGAACAGGGGGAACCTCTTAGGATCAAGCCACTTCAAGCCTAAAAACATTTACATAACCAATTAGGTCATCTTGGATAGTTGGATGGTCACTTTTGACCCTTTTTTGCACGCCAAGACAACAAAACTCCAATGTATGAAATCCGTTTTGGTCCCAAAACTTCTCCAACAATTGATACAAGTAGAACAATAATAAAGGTCATATAATATATATATATATATATATATAGAAATTCTATATGTACCCTTTTTTTATCACACCTTATTTTTTTTTAATTTTTTTAAGCGAAAATTTTTAATTATCTTTTCTCATAAGTTTTCGAATATTTATATATGATAAATTTTATAACTTATTGAAACCAAAAATAAATTTTAAAAAAATTATATAACTTACCAAAAATAGATAAGAGAATAGAATTTTAAAAAAATTATAAAAAGAGAATTTCATTAGAAATTTTTATTAATTAGTGTAATTAAAGAAATTATTATTAAAAAATCATAAAATTTAAAATAATAAAAAAGTTAAATTTACTATTTTAACTTTAAAGAAAGAATAAAATCTTATGAGGTCTTAATTAAACTAAAAGTAAAATAATAAATACAATTTTTTTTATAAATTTAAAACGTATTATTTATTTGTTAATAAATATTTTTTCTTGATATCAATTATTAAATTTTATAATAATTCTAACTAAATTGAATTTTTTGTAAAGTTTTTTCATCTACTTATTACGATGGGTTTATTCAGATAACATATTAACTTTTGACAAAATTATATAATACTAAATAATATTAATTTTACAATTTCTAGGAGTTTTAGCTTTCAAATATTGATCGAACCTAATAGTTCTTTTATTATTTTTCATAACATCAAGAGATAAAATATTTGATTAGGTTTATAAGATTTTATTTTCTCTAAAGTCAAAATAGTAAAATCAACTTATTTTTTATTAATTTTAAAATTTATAAGTTTTTAATAATAATTTTTTATTACACTAATTAATAAAAATTTCTAATATTTTTTATAATTATCTTTAAATTTCCTTCTTTTGCTCTTTGAAAATCAATTTTTAAAAAATAATATAATTTTTTAAAAATTTATTTTTGATAAATTATTAAATTTATCGGACATAGATATCCAAAAATTTAGAAAAAAATAAT